AAAAAAAAAGAAAAAAAAAACGGTTGAAAAGTTTAGTATAGCCCAAAGCAGAAGTATCAAAACCGTTTGAAACATTTTAGACAACTTGTAAGCAAAAGCCAAGGTTTATCCAAGCACTGTTTAGCGCGAACTGTCCACCATCACAAAAATACTGAATTTAGGGTGTGAACACGAGCTAAGTAATACAAAATGTCGAAACTACTTAGTTATCGTACGTCACTCCTGCATTTTAGCAGGTTTCTATGAGCGTCCCCATTACCCATTTATACTAGGAGCCAGATCTCTCAAAACGGAGTCCAGCACGCTAGCCAATGGGCCAGCGCCTCTTACCTCCAGACAAAAATGCAAAATTGTTTACTCTTGTAAATGTAGCAACTTCCCAACCAGCAATGTGACCTAGGTAAACTCTTTCCCGCACCTTACCCTTTTTAGGTAACTGATCTGCAATGAGCGCTTTCGTTCTTCGAAGAAACCATCTTCCAATTCTATCTTGAAGATCTTTTGATCCTTGGTAAAATATAATAAGTACAAGATAAGATTGAAAAGGGCAGCGGTGAAACTCCTGGGGAGACTTTTTGGTTGTAACAAAGAAAATTGATGCTCAAAATAATTTTAAACGAGAGGTAAAAAAAAGTCTCTCACCAACCTCTTCTTACCTTGTTCCTTAATTAAGATTTTTTCCATTGATTTTAATCTTAGTCTTTGCGTGTCATTTTTTTTTATTTTTTATTTTCCCGAAAATCATTTTGAGCGACAGGAGGCCTCCTTGTGAAATATTTGTTTGCTACTTAATGGTTAATCCCGTCTTCAAAAACCCTTCGATAAAGAACGTGTCGGAGTGTTGGAAATAAGATTGTCAATTTTGATCTCGATAGATCGGGCGACACGAGAAGATCGCGGAAAACTAACTGAACACTTGTACCGACTTAGTCACTCAAGTTGCGAAGAACGAACTTGATTTAGGTTTTATGGAGTCTTCTTTTATCAAAAGCCCATCAGCACAAAGTCTGTCGATGCAAGCAAGCAAGTAAGACTTGATGATTGTCCTTGAGCCGTAAATATGGGTTACCGAAGAAAATAATAAATAAAAATAATAAGCCACATAAGTATTAGAAGACATGAAAACACTCCAGGGAGTAGGCAAGGGATAAAGGTAGGCTTCTCTTTGCTTTAACTGTTGCGTCATCGTTTCAAGAAGCACGTATTACCCCTTGAGACTTTGAAAAATTCAGTGAAATGTGTCTTACATCTATAGACTCTAAAGTGCACGCTAATTTAACCAGGAAAACGAGATGACTGCACGGCTTTTAGTTCCTCATCAATGTTCTACTGCTACCCCCAAAACTACAAAAGTTAGTGAACAGTAAATGGTTTGAACTTCATGGGGGTTACATGTGATAGTGCAATCTGATCGTCCGAGTAAGTGTAATCCTCAGAAAGACTGTTGGACCACCTAACCGACCGATCGAAACACAACAATCTCGACCAACTTACGCCACTTTTGTGTTACACCCAACATCATCACGGCAAAACCAACAAATCAGTTGAAACGAACTGGATTTAGAACATTTGACTAACCACAACCATTCACGTGACACTGATGATAACTTTCGTTCAGGTTGTCGAAACGTCTGTCACCACTACCGGCAACAGTCCTTCTCAGGACTACACTTATCCATACGATTAGACTACATTATCACAAAACTTAGTGTCCAACAGAACTTTCGGTTATCGCAAAACGGATTTTTTCCCCGCAAAATACTGAATATCGCAAATTCGCCAAATAAGTAGATTTCCACAATACTTCCGGGCTAAGTTGCCACCGCCAAGAATATGAGGTGTAAACTTGAAGAACTCACTCTTTCTTCCCACTGCCAGTTCTCTTTTAGTTGCGTCAAAAGTCTGTCCTTTCAGCATGGGTTTGCCAAACTCCTGATTGAAGTTTTTGGCTGATCCCAGACTTCCTGGGTTTGCCCAGTCCAACACACACCAGAACTCCTCCAGTTTATTCTGAAGTGGGGTCCCTGTGAGGCCATATCTGATGTACACGAAATCAATTATACAAAACAATGTTGAACTACAACGAATTGTTCAGCAAGACACAGTACGACATCCTTTCACACTATTTTTCTCAACTATAATGTCGGCAAATAATCAAATTGTTGGAGCATAATTTAATGCTCAACAAATTGGCATTGCGTCCCAAGATCTCATCGATAAAGGTGACCCACTTTGAAAAAGTACTAAGACAATACCACCCTACAATGAAGGTCCCTTGACAAAGTGTGACAGAATTATCGATATTTGTGTGATTTCAGGTAACGGTAATTCCTAGGTGGGGTTACCTTCTTTTCACATTGAGAGCTTTAGCAGCCACAGTTATTTGAGCCTTGGGATCTTTGAGGCGATGGACTTCGTCCATGATTACAGCTAACCATTTGAGTCGGTTCAAATCAGTCTAAAGAGAAAGGAAAAAGAACTTAACTATACTTTCCACGCTTTTGTCGGTTTGGAAATTCAGATTGCTTCTCCATCCATTCCGATACGGAACTAGGTTTTCACATTCCAACTGTTGCGAACCGAATTCTTACTTCAATTCCGCCTCAATAAACAAATTGACACCACTTCACTTAAGAACTTGGCAAGTTCCAAAATATATAACCTAACGTTATTTCGTGCGTTTCATGAAAGAGCTATTGAAAACTGCTAGACAACAGAATAACATATAAAACATCTCTCTCGATTAAACGAGCCCAACAGCAGTAAGAATACGCGAAATTGAAACTAGTTTCTGAAAGGATGGGGAAGATTCACACGGATTGCAAACGCAGGAGTTAAAATGTTTCGGCTTCATTATCAAGAGAAGGGGCTTCATGAACTCACCAAGTAATTTCTCATGGTCTCATATGTAGTCAGAACTACATCTAGTCGCCCTCTAGAGGCCCTATCTAAAGTGGACTCCCTAGTGGTACCATGAAAGAGACCCGTCTTAAAATGACCCCATGTTTCTAGCTCATCCCTCCAGTTGAACATGACGGAGCCTGGACTTACAACCAGAAAGGTACCTGTCTCTGGGTTGACTTTTTCCTATTTGAAACAAAAAA